GGGAGCTCCATCGGAGGTCCCAGCGCTACCGCCCGCCTGCGTCTCCCCACCCAGTACAGCGTGTCGTGGCCCCATAGGAAGGCCCACCGAAGGCTTCAATGGCACCGTCCGCATGCGTTCCCCCCCACGCAGTACAGCGTTTCGTGGCCCCATAGGGGGCTCCACCGAAGGCCCCAGTGGCAAAGTTCGCATGTGTTTCCCCCACGGAGGACAGCATTTCGAGGCCCCTTTTGGAGGGAGCGCCACCGAAGGCCCCAGGGGCACCGTCCGCATGCGTCTCCCCCACCCAGTACAGCGCTTCGTGGCCCCATAGGGAGCTCCACCGAAGGCCCCAGTGACAAAGGTCACATGCGTTTCCCATCGTTTCCCCCACCCAGTGCCGCTATCGTGGCCAATTGCGAGCTCCACCGAAGGCCCCAGTGGCAAAGTTCGCGTGCGTGTCCCCCACCCAATACAGCGTTTCGTGGCCCGTAGGGAGCTCCACCGAAGGCCCCAGTGGCACCGTCCGCATCGGGAGCTCCACCGAAGGCTTCAGTGGCAAAGTTTGCATGCGTCTCCCCCGCCCAGCACAGCGTTTGGGCATCTTCCGAGGGCGCAGCAGGTGCGTTGACGAGCTCGTGCCCGCCCGCCCCCTCTAACTGGATTTTGGAATCCAGTGGCAGCAGCTTTTGGGACACACTGACAGAGGATGGCAAGAGAGCATGTTGGGTTCATCTCTCGACGCGGGCTCCGGCTTGCGCATGACCTCAATTTCTCATCGCAATGCTGGAGATGATGGCTTCTTGGACATTCGTATGCTTTGACAGCAGCTTTTGGAGAGACATCGCCAGAGGATGACAAGAGAGCATGTTAGGTTCATCTCTCGACGCGGGCTTCGGCTTGGACATGACCTAAACTTCTCATCGCGAAGCCAGGGCTGATGGCTTCGTGGGCATTCGTATGCTTTGGCAGCAGCCTTTGGAGAGACATTGCCAGAGGATGACACGAGAGCACGTTAGGTTCATCTCTCGACGCGGGCTTCGGCTTGCGCATGACCTAAACTTCTCATCGCGAAGCCAGGGCTGATGTCTTGGTTGACATGTGTATGCTTTCATTCAAGAGGCCTACGCCATCTCGCCGACTCCTGAAGAGGACATGTGCGGGTTCCGCTTTCGCGTGTGCTGCTTGCCAATTCCCGTCGTGCTGCCTGCGTGCATCTGCTGCTGGTTCATCCTCTTCCTCCGCGCCTGTTGCGGGGCTTCCTGGGGGCCTTTGGAGGCCGAGGTGCCAGCCTCTTGGGGCTGTTGAGGGCCTCTCTTGGTGGCATCTTGTGGTGGGAGGGGCTCCTGGGGTCCCTGCAGGTTCCCCCTCTTGGGCCTCTCTTGGGCCTCTCTTGGGCCCTCTCTGGGGCCCTCTTGAGGGTTTTTCCCAACCATCCTGTGGTGCTGGGTCCTCGTTTTGAAGAGACAGCGCCCCGCGTTCCTCCCTCCTCCCGTCACCCTCACTTTGGCACACCCCTCGCACGTTTCGTGGCTCCATGGGGAGCTCCACCGAAGGCCAAAATGCTGCCGCCCGCATGCGCTCCCCCCCCTCTTGGGCCCCCTCTGGGCCCTCTCGAGGTTTTCTTTTGCAGTCTTGGGAGTCTTCTTGGGGGCCGTCTTGACGCCTCTTGGGGCTGTCTCCGGTTTCTCCCGCGGGCCGCCTTGGGCCGTCTTGGGCCAGCCTGGGGGCCTCTCGCGCTGCTCTGGACTTGCAGAGGTTCGAACACTATGTTTTTCCCAGCCATCCTGTGGTGTTGGGCCCTCGTCTTGAAGCGACAGCGCCCCGCGTTCCTCTCCTCCTCTTCCCCCTCCTCCCTGCCTCTGCTCTCCGCACCAGTCCACCGTTTCGGCACCAGTGCAGCGTTTCGTGGCCCCATAATTAGGGAGCTCCACCGAAGGTCCCAGTGCTACTGTCCGCATGCGTCCCCCCCACCCAGTACAGCGTTTCGTGGCCCCATCGGGAGCTCCACCGAAGGCCCCAGTGCTACCGCCCGCATGTGTCTCCTCCACCCAGAACAGCGTGTCGTGGCCTCATAGGGAGCTCCACCGAAGGCTTCCATGGCACCGTCCACATGCGTCCCCCCGACCCAGTACAGCGTTTCGTGACCCCATAGGGAGCTCCATCGAAGGCTCCAGTGACAAATTTCGCATGCGTTCCCCCCCACGCAGTACAGCGTTTCGTGGCCCCATAGGGGGCTCCACCGAAGGCCCCTGTGGCAAAGTTCGCATGCGTTCCCCCCACCCAGGACCGCGTTTCGTGGCGCCATTGGGAGCTCCACCGGAGGCCGAGCAAGTCCACATGCGCTTCACTATCGCAGGGCAGCGTTTCGTGGCCCCATAGGCAGCGTTTCGTGGCCTCATAGGGAGCTCCACCGAGGGTCCCAGAGCTACCGCCCGCATGCGTCCCTCCCACCGAGTACGGCGCTTCGTGGCCCCATAGGGGGCTCCACCGAAGGCTTCAATGGCACCGTCCACATGTGTCCCCACACACCCAGTACAGCGTGTCGTGGCGCTTAGGGAGCTCCACCGAAGGCCCCAGTGGCAAAGTTCGCATGTGTTTCCCCCACGCAGGACAGCGTTTCGAGGCCCCATTTGGAGGGAGCTCCACCGAAGGCCCCAGTGGCACCGTCCGAATAGGGAGCTTCACCGAAGGCTGCAGTGGCAAAGTTTGCATGCGTCTCCCCCACCCAGCACAGCGTTTGGGCATCTTCCGAGGGCGCAGCAGGTGCGTTGACGAGCTCGTGCCCGCCCGCCCCCTCTAACTGGATTTTGGAATCCAGTGGCAGCAGCTTTTGGGACACACTGACAGAGGATGGCAAGAGAGCATGTTGGGTGCATCTCTCGACGCGGGCTCCGGCTTGCGCATGACCTCAATTTCTCATCGCAATGCTGGAGATGATGGCATCTTGGTCATTCGTATGCTTTGACAGCAGCTTTTGGAGAGACATCGCCAGAGGATGACAAGAGAGCATGTTAGGTTCATCTCTCGACGCGGGCTTCGGCTTGCGCATGACCTAAACTTCTCATCGCGAAGCCAGGGCTGATGGCTTCGTGGGCATTCGTATGCTTTGGCAGCAGCCTTTGGAGAGACATTGCCAGAGGATGACACGAGAGCACGTTAGGTTCATCTCTCGACGCGGGCTTCGGCTTGCGCATGACCTAAACTTCTCATCGCAACGCCAGAGCTGATGTCTTGGTTGACATGTGTATGCTTTCATTCAAGAGGCCTACGCCATCTCGCCGACTCCTGAAGAGGACATGTGCGGGTTCCGCTTTCGCGTGTGCTGCTTGCCAATTCCCGTCGTGCTGCCTGCGTGCATTTGCTGCTGGTTCATCCTCTTCCTCCGCGCCTGTTGCGGGGCTTCCTGGGGGCCTTTGGAGAGGAGGAGGAGGAGGAGGAGGAGGAGAAGGAGGAGGAGGAGGAGGAGGAGGAGGAGGCGGAGGAGGAGGAGGAGGAGGAGGAGGAGGAGGAGGAGGAGAGGAGGAGGAGGAGGAGGACGAGGAGGAGGCGGAGGAGGAGGAGGACGAGCTCGCCATGAAAAATCACCCCGTCCACCCCCCTGGCCCCCGCGCCCTGGATCGCCACCCCGTGCCCCCCCCCCCCCTGGCCTTCCAGGCAGCCCGGAATTGTCAGCCCCCCGTCTGCCTGCCCTGCTCCCCCGCTATTGCGGGGGCGAGGAGGCCCGCGAAGCAATTTTTTTCATCGTCCGTAAAGATCGCTTCCCTTCATTGAGGCCAGCGCCTTCCAGGAAGCAGCCCCCTCCCAAGAAACCTTCCCCCCCCCCCTCCCCCTGCCCCCCCTCTGCGCGCCGCCAACTGTTCATGGGGGATGGGCTCGGGGGGACTCACAACTTCGAGGCTCGAGGGTCGAGGCGTTCGGGCGTTGTCGCGGGCCCTCGGCGGCTCCCTCGGGCCTCGGGGTGCCTCCCGGCGACGGCGCCTCGCCGAGAGGGAGCGCCGCGGGGGTGCCCGGATCGCCCCGAGCGGCCGCGGGAGACCCGAGCCGTGGCCCGAGGAGCAACGGGGGCGGGGATAGGCTTAAGTCGGGCCTGTCCCCGTACAGGGGGATTGTCGACGAAAAATAAAAGATACACCCAACATAGTCCAAATATAGTCCAAAAATAGTATGCGGACTATTATTTGAGTATTTTTTTGACCTTTTTGGGGTATTTTTGGGGTATTTATCTTTTTTCGTCGAAGATCCCCTTGTAGGGGGACAGGCCCGACATAATGATAGGCTCAGGGGGGGACCGCATCGACCCCGAAGCGGCCCATTTGATCGCCGATAAGGGTCTGATAGCCCCGCGCCGCCCAGGGACGCGCGGATTCTGCTAGCGGTGGCCTATCGCCGGTCTATCAGCGATGTCTCGCCGATTCCAGGTCGGTGTTCCCCCCCCACTGGGCCAGTCCCCCCTCTCGTTGCCCCTCGGGTTCTCTTTTTCCTCCTCCACCGGCGAGATGACGTCGCCGCTCGCGAGAGCACAATCGTGGGGCCCCCAGGCGGTGCGGTGACCACACCGCGCGGCGAGTCGGTGGGGGTTCGCGGTCGCCGCGCGGTTTTGGGCTGTCTCAGGCGACCAGGGCCTCCGAGGTCCCAAGACCGTGCGGTGACGGTCCCTTCGGGGAGGTCGTTGGGGTTTCCTAGGGCACCACGCGGTCCGTGACCACGCGGCCTTGAGACCCCGAAACGACGCTCTTTCCTCCTCCGCTGGCCAGGTGACGTCATTGTCGCGAGAGTACATCCCTGACATCTTCGCGTTGGGAATAATTTTCAACGGGAGTCGAATAACAAAACAGCGTAAAAATGATTTTTCGGAAGCCCGCGAGGACTTCTTGGATCGGCGCTCGGCCTCGGCCCTCGGTGCTCGAGCCTCGATCCTCCCTGCCCGAACCGCGACCCTCGAGCTTCGATCCTCGTCTCCCCCTCCTCGAAGGTTCAGCCCTCCCCACGCTTGCCGCCCTCTCCTGGGCCGCCCCGAG